AACAGTGCTGAAGACATGTGCACTTGGACTTGCCAAAACCCAAATCAAGCAACAACACCAGCATCTATCCGACAATGTGGAAAATTGCCCAGGGATGTACATAAAAAGCAGGTGGATCTATTCTGCCCAATTACCACCCCGTCAGTCTACTGTCGATCACCATGCTCAGCAATAGCCTGCTCAGTGATGCCCAGTTTGGACTTTGCCAGGGCCGCTCAGCACCTGACCTCATTACAGCTTTGGTTCAAACATGGGCAAAAAAGCTGAATTTGAGGAGGCAATGACCTAGTTGTACTATCGATAGACTATTAATCCAGAGACCTAGGCAATGTTCTGAGGAGATGGGTTCAAATCCCACTATGGGAGATGATGGAATTTGAATTCAATAAAAAAAAAAGCTGGAATTAAGAATCTAATGATAATCACGAAACCATTGTCAATTGTTAGAAAAGCCCATCTGGTTCACTAATGTCCATTAGGCAAAGAAACTGTCATCCTTACCTGGTCTGGCTTACATGTGACTCCGGATCCACAGCTATGTGGTTGACTCTTAACTGCCGAGTGATGCCCATATCCTATAAATGGATAAAAAAAATTCCAGAAGTTAAGTGAGAGTGACTGGCCATGACATCAAGGCCACATTTAACCTAGTGTGGCATCAAGGATCCTAGCAAAACTGGAGTCGATGGGAATCATAGGGAAATCTCTCCACTGATTAGAGTCATACCTCAGAAAGGATGATGGTTGTGGTTGTTGGAGGTGAGTCATCTCAACTCCAGAGTATCTCTACAGGAGTTCCTCAGAGTAGTGTCCTCGGCCCAACCACCTTAAATTGCTTTATCAATGACCTACCCTCCATCATAAAGTCAGAAGTGGGGATCTTCACTGATGATTGCACAATGTTCAAACACCATGCATGACTCCTCAGATACTGAAGTCATCTCTCTTCAAATGCAGCAAAACCTGGACATTTTCCGGGCTTGGGCTGACAAGTGGCAAGTAACATTCATGACACTGCCAATCAATGACAAACTCCAACAAGAGAGAATCTAGTTGTTGCCCCATAGACATAGGGATGGCATGGTGGCTTAGTGGTTAGCACTGCTGCCTTACAGCACCAGGGACCTGGGTTCGATTCCAGCCTGTCTTTGTGGAGTTTCCACATTCTCCCTATGTCTGCGTGGGTTTCCTTCCACAGTCCAAAGATGTGTAGGTTAGATTGGCTATGCTAAATTGCCCATAGTGTCTAGGGTGGGAAATGCAGGGATAGGGTAAGGGGTGGGTCAGTGTGGAATGTTCTTCAGAGGGTTGGTGGGACTCAATGGGCCAAATGGCCTGCCTCCACACTGTAGGGATTCTATGAAATCCTCCAATCTCAACATTTGATGGCATTATCATCATCGAAATCCCTGACTATCAACTCCAGGGATTACCAATGATCGGAAACTGAACTGGACTAGCCATATGAATACAGTGGCTAAAAGGACAGGTCAGAGGCTGGGAATCCAGAAATTAACTCACTCCTGACTCCTCAAAGCCTGCCGACCATCTACAAGGCACAAGTCAGTGGTGTGATATAATACTCCCCATTTGCCTGGATGAGTGCAGCTCCAACAACACTCAAGAAGCTTGACACCATCCAGGACAAAGCAGCCTGCTTGACTGGCAGCACATCCACACATGTCCACTCCCTCCACCTCTGGCACTCAGTAGGTGCAATGTGTACTATCTTCACGGTAACAAAACTGTACTCATGCCGTTGGCATCATTCCGCATTGCAAACCAGCTGTCTAGCTAACTGATCACCCCCAAAATAAAGGTAAAGTGACCATAGTCTTACCGGATCATAGGGCTGATCTCTCATTAGAGAGAGATAGGAGGTGGTGGTTTAACCTGAGAGTCACTACATCTCAGGCAAGGGGAGAGGTTGAGAAGGAGAGTCCTTCATAGTAACATAAGCAGGTACAGGAGTTGAACCCAGGCTGTTGGCGTCACTCTGCAGCACTATCCAGCCAATTGAACTAACCAACCCCCTCCAAGATGCACAGCAGAAATTCACCAAGGTTTTCGGAAAGCACCTTCCTAACCCACGACCACTACCATCTAGAAGGACAAGGACAGCAGATACATGGGAACACCACTGCCTGCAAGTTCCCCTCCAAGCCACTCATTGTTTTGACTTGGAAATATATCATTGTTCCTTCACTGTCGCTGGGTCAAAATCCTGGAACTCCCTCCTTAACAGCATTGTGAGTCTACCTACACCAAATGAACAGTGGTTCAGGAATGGTTCTCACCACAACCTTCTCAGCTGGTATGGGCTAAAAATGCTGGCCCAGCCTGAGATGCCTACCTTTCAAGGATGAACAAAAAAAATGTAAACACAAGGAATGAGTTGTAAGACATGCAGTCAAAAAAACACAATGAATTCATTCAAGAAGCAATTAAATTTATTTCTGGAAACAAAGGACTAAGGGACAGATGAGTTTATGAGGAACATGAAGTTTTGAGAGGGACATATAGATTTGTGAGGGACATGCAGGTTTTAAAGGGACTGGAGGTTTTATGTGGAATGTGTGGTTTTGTGAGGGACCATGCAGGTTTGTAAGGGACACAGGTTTGTGAGGCAGAAGCAGGTTTGTGGGCTTCAGGTCAAACAAATTGCCTTTACAAATTCTCAAATCTCCGATTTCAATGTGGGTGTTTCTGTTTCTCACAAGGCATGTGTTTAGGTCTCTGTCACCTTTTCAGTGGGTGTTTCCCTTTTGCTTAATTATCTTCATGTCTTGTTTTTGTCTCTTTTTGTTGCCGTATCTCTGTATCTATTTTGCTCCTCTGTTGCCTGTTTCTATCTCACACTTTACCGTCTGTGTGTGTTTCTCACTGGTGTATTTTGTTTTCTCCTTGCTCTCTTTGTCTCTTACTCTTTCTCAAGGTTTTTTCCTGTCTATCACTCCTTCTCTGTTTTTTTTTGTCTAAGTGTCTCTTTTGCATTTCTCCTAAACCTAGTTTATACCTTCAATGTTTTCCGCGCTCTCTTTCTCTCTATCTGTTTCTCTGCCCATCTTCTCTGGCCGCATCCCTATTAATCAATATTTCTTTCTCAAAATTCACAGACCCTCTCCTTTTCTTATTCCCTGTGCCTCCGTTTTTCTCTTTTCTCTCTACTTGCCTCTTGTCTTTTCCCATGGAGCCAATCAGCCTGTTTTATGTGATTGTCTGGTCAGTCACTGGTGGACAGCAGTTAATATGAAAAACCTAAATGGTCACTGAAATTATAAGAGCCCCTGAAATTATTGTTCTGTAAAGCCAAACACTCCCTGGGCAGGTATGGCACAGGGTAAGATACAGAAGTCCTTCTACACTGCTCTGTCAAATACTACCAGAGGAAGTTAAATCCAGATTAACACTCCATCTACACTGTCAACATCAAACACTCCCAGAACAGATATAGCACAGGGTTAGATACACCGTAAAGCTGCCTCTACACTTTCCACATCAAACACTCTCAGGACAGGGACAGCATGGTGTTGGATACAGAGTAAAGTGCCGTCTACACTCTATACATCAAACACTCCTAGCGCAGATACCTGGCATTAGATACAGAGTAAATCTCTTCCTACACTGTCTCCATCAAATACTCCCACAGCATAGGTACAGCATAGGGTTAGATACAAAGTAAAGCTTTCTCTACACTGATCCATCAAACACTTGCAGCTGATGCACTGCACATTGCAATACAGAATGAAGTTTCTGTTACACTATTCCATTAAACAATCTAAAGTCAAGTACAGCAGGGGCTAGCTATTGAGTAAAAAAACTCCCAAATGCACTGTTCAAATCCTGCTACACAGTAAAGCATCTTTCTGTTCCCCATCAATTTTTCTATGGCAATCAGGCTGTGAAAGTTCCAATAACAGAAGCTTCGAACATTTCACACCTCATAATACTGTGCAACTAAACATTGAGACATTCACAAGAGATCATAGAAAGAACAATTTACTGTAACCACATAAAGCTGTCAGTCAAGCAAAGTCAATACTTCTCTCCAGCTGTCAAAACAGGACCCAGTTGAGGAAATCATATGAGTCTGGGCTCAAAGCCAAGTATACTTAATGGAGGTTTAAAAACCCTGTGAAAGAGTTCTCTAACCTGACTTCAATATGCATGTTTGGTGATATAATTGCGAGTTCTTCTGTTGAATCCATTGTAACAGAACAAGTTACATAAAGTGGAAACAAAAGAATCTCAGCATTCACAGTGCTTGTGAGAGTTTACAACCAGAGAGTCTGTTGTTTGAATGGTGATATTTCAATGTGGATCAGATGACCCTTAAGATCTGGGTATGGCAAGACAGTAATAACATCAGCCAAGATTTTGCCTAAAATCGATGCCAAACAACACAATATTTGTCTCAGCAGACTGAACAATGTTAGACAATGACTTCGTTCATTCTATTACCTCTGCTCCTTGTTATTGCTTTAGAAAGACTTAGAGAGAGAGAGAGAGCAAGAGACAACAAAAAGTGGGTATTAACTTCACTGCCCAACAATCCTGTAGTCCCTGAGGCCCATTGTTTACACCCTTTGCAACATCATTACAGTAGCACCCCTACTGTATTCCTTGCACAGAGTATTTTACAAAGGAGAACATTTTATTTTTGCAACAGTGGGAAGAGAAGCTTTGTGAAAGTTCTGGGTTCTTGGGTCTCTGTCATTTCCTGCAGCTCTAGACACATCCCATTTCCTTCTGCCAAGAGCAGAAGGTGACATTCAGAGTAAATACAGAGTCCTGGGGTTGGGTAGTTCAATCTCTCACCCTCACCACTGTGTATTCAGGGAGATCAATGAATGGTGAGAGGAAAAGACTGCTTTACAAGTAAAGATTTCACTTGACAGAAGTATCAGTGTCTAAAAACGCATTGAGACAGACAATGTTGAGATTGTGACCTTACTGTAAAAATCTGCTTTTTTTATTAATGCTTATTCTTCTATTTACAGGGGATGAAGCTGAGTGCAGAGGAGTTCAATGCAATATTCACATTTTATGACAGGGTAACTATTGCCTCAGTGTTAATACAAGGGCTTCACAGAACTGCACGGTTTATCACAGGCTTTTTGTTTTAATAGATGAATCAAGACTCTATTTGTTGAATTTTCTCCCCTCCTAATGAAGATGGGTGAGTATTTCAGATGTACTGTCCCAAGGGCTCGAGACCCTCCTCCAAATGGATCAATCCCCTATGTAGGTGCGAGACCATGAATGGCAGTGAGCTCTTTGAGCATGGAGTTAAAGTACAAGAACTAGAGGGCATAGCCTCAAAATAAGGGGGAGCAGATTTAGGACCGAATTGAGGAACTTCTCCCAAAGGATCGTCAATCTGTCATTCCCTGCCCAGAGAAGGAGTTGAGGCTACCTCATTGAATATTTGTAAGGCAAAGTTAAATAGATTTTTAAACAGTAAAGGAATTAAGGGTTGTGGTAAGCAGGCAGGTAAGTGGAGCTGAGTCCATGAAAAGATCAACCATGGTATTACTGAATTGGCTCAAGGGGCCAGATAGCCTACTCCTGCTCCTATTCCCTACGTTCTTATGTACTGCGGTCTGACACAAACAAATCTGGTTGCTGCAAATCTGAAATAAAGGCAAAAAATGTCACAGATACTCAGCAGAATCAGCACCATCTGTAGAGAGAGAAACAAAGTTATTACGCAGAACTTAGGATTTGTGTCAGAGGTGGAAAACTTCATGTCAGAGAGCAGCTCTACCATTAATCTACTGTCCTTAATCAGATTGAGCATGCTGTTGGCCACTAATTGTCCCGCTCACTAAAAATTAGGTTGAAGATACAGACCTCTGGGCACTTTTGTTCTGTGCGGATTGGGTAGTATAAGCGGTGCCTTTTCTATTAAGGCAATTAAAGGAACAACTAAAGCTAATTTTCTGAAGCCAACTTGCCCCAAAGCAGCTGAAGGTTGGGCAATAGGGTGCCTCTCAGCATCAAGTTGGGGGAGGGGGCATGTTTCTAGTTTACCATCATCAATTTAAACTTACAAGGTGGCCATAGCTGTAGTTCTTTGCAAAAGCCTTCAGAACATGCCTCCATTTTGAGGTGCCTGAACTTCACAGGTCCTCCCTTTGACTCCTGAGACTGGGTGGCCAATAGGAGACTTTTCAACAATGACACATTAGCAGATCTACCGAGGAGGCTAAAGCCAATGTGTAGTACTCCCAATGGCATTCCAAAGAAAGTCTGTAAGCACTGACCGGGAATTGAAGCTGGGACATTTTGGTCTCAGTGTGCTGTGCTATGCTGGGACACCAGTACAGATCTCAAGTGTTTAGGCAAAGGCACATAAAGGGAAGTTACTACGGAAGCTTTGCCTAGAAGCCAGCAAAAGTCACAGGAACAGGAGGAAGTCATTCACTCACTCAAGCCTGCTCCACCATTGAATTAATTCACATTTGATCTGTACCTCGATTCCTTTCACCACCCTTTTCTCCCAGAATCCCTTGCCCAATAAAACCTACCTCAATCACAAATTCTTACAAATCTCCCAAGATTTCCAGTGAGAAGTGAGACATCGGTTCTACAACCACACCCAGGGAAGAACGTGAAAAATGTGTAAATGATAGGAAATTATTGTCCCAAGTCAATCCTACCATGTGTTCCCGAGCAATGCTAAGCATAAGGAAGGGGGCTCTTTGTGTTTGAATAGCCATCTTTATTATACAGCTGGCCTCACAAGCCAGGGGCACTGCTGTCTTATTACAGGCCCAATATTGAAAGCAGTAACTGACCACATATTGCCAAAGCCATGCCCCACTAACCTGAGCGATTGGTGGTCTCCACTCAAAATACATGGAGCAGCTTGATGCGGGGAGATGAGGATGGGACAGGGTTGATGAGACAGACCCCGACAAAACAGAGAATCCCAGCAAAGAGTTCCAGCTGTGATATAGAGAATATTCACTGTTTTATTACCAAGGTGCCTTGTGCATCTAATTATCTAACTGGGAGTTGCAGAGCAAGTTGATTCTATTATTTTTCACTCAGTATGTTCTGTCTGCTTCCTCAGGATGGAAATGGCTATATCGATAGTAATGAGCTGGATGCACTACTGAAAGATTTATATGAGAAAAACAAAAAGGTGGGTTGAGGAGAACAATATTGACAGTCCAGGAGTGTAGGATTCTGTGTGCTTGTAGAAGTTGTCAATACAGGCAAAAATACAACTTTTGCAACATCTCCTCCATCAAACACTCCCAGAGCAGGTACAGCACAGGTTAGATACAGACAAAAGTTCACTCTATACTCTTTTAAACTGAAAGTAAAGCTCCCTTGACTTTGTCCTCATCAATCACTTCCAAGACAGGTACAACACAGGGTTAGATACAGAGTAAAGCTCCTTCTACTCTTTTAAACTAAAAGCAAAGCTCCTTCTAATCTTTTAAACAGAAAGTAAACCCCTCTTTACTCTTTTCAACTGAAAGTAAAGCCTCCTCAACATGTACCCCATCAAACTCTCCCAGAAAGGTACAGCACGGGGTTAGAAACAGAGTAAAGCTACCTCTACACTGTCCCCATCAAACACTCACAGGGCAAATGAAGCATGGAGTTACATACATAACAAAGTTCCCAATATACTAGAACATCAGACACATCTGGTACAGCAAGGGGTTAGATACAGAGTAAAGGTCACTGCACTGTCCAATCAGTCACTCAGTTGCTGGGCAAGTACAGCACAGATTAGTTGCTTTTGGCAAAAATTTAACATTGTTGTGATGTGTTCATTGAGAATGATTCTTAATTACTAGCCGCTCCTGAGGTCAAGAAGGTTTTAATGCTGCAAGAACTGAATGGAGACTGCAGAGACTGAAAAATAAACCATCCCTCCTTGGGTAGTCAGAAATTGACCAGCCACATGAGGGCTCACGGCAAAATGGAAAAATATCACACTGGAACACATTATACATGGGGATGCTTAATATTGACATTGATTTAACTGAAATTGAAAGTTTTCTATTCCCTTTAGTCCCACATCTTTCAGCATAAAATTGTACAATTAAGTTTACCAAATATATCACCTAAACTGATCCATAGCTAAGATCATATAATAATTTTTTTTTGCAATTTTCTGCCCTAGGAGATGGATATTAAGAAACTGACTGCATACAAGAAAAATATCTTGTCTCTCTCGCATGGTGGAAAGCTGTATCGACGGGAGCTGGAAATGATTTTGTGCACAGAGCCACTGTAGGGAGTACCTCTTCAACAAAGAACGTGCTCCACCCTACACCATTCAGTCCACAGCCTCACCTCACCTCACCCAACATCACTCCACCCCAGCGCATGTGCAGGGTGTCCTAAAAACCACAAATGTGCTTGTATTGCAGATTAAGAAATGCCACTAAGGGACAGGCATCAAAGCTGAGGTGTGAACTCACTCATAATGGCTGTCCATTATTTTCTATATATCTCCCTTTGCTCAGCATTTTAAAGCAACAGATAATAGATACATATATATATACAGAATATATATAGAAGTATTTTGAGTCTTGGTAAATGCTGTTGTTTGCCAAAGGTAAGCCTGAGATTTACAGCAGAAAGCCAATTATCCAAAAGACAATTAATTGAAGTCATTTTTATTTGCTACTCTGCTCTTTTTACTCAGTTGTCCCAGCTGCAGTGACTCCAGAATTCACACAGTGTTCCTAATGCAAACCACAAACCTAGAAGTTGAGATCTATCCATAATGGTGTGCATGGGGAGCTCAAAGGATTTTTGTATTGGCCATCCTGGATTTTCTCTGCTTTCCCATGAGGAATCACCTAGGTTACTTCAGACTCCCCCTAAATGGCTCACTGAGACAAAAGATTTCAATACCAGACAGTGGGGGATCACAAACTACAGTAAGTTCAGAATCAGGAGGTACCTCTTAAAAGGCTAATAATTTTGAGAATAAGTTACCAGGGCAAGGCACAGTAGTATTTCTTCTGAGCAAATGGACTGAAAACAATGGTGAGAAAATAACAATGTAACGAGAGGCAGGGCAGGAAAATACCTGATCTGTTGGACAGAATGCTCTGACTGTCTTTCTAAACAAGGCAGGAGGCAGGAACAGCAAAAAATAGTTGGTCTATATCGCAGATACCAGTCAGTCTCTCAAATAGAATATAGTATCTGGCACACACCAAACTTCATGGAGGTTTCTTTTGGTATAGATATGGCAACACCTGGTACTTTAAATATAACCATTACAGTTGGTCAGAAAAGTTCAGCGATATAAATGTAAACATTACAGCCTGTCAGAGCCAGTGATATAAATGTAACCATTACAGTCTGTCAAGGGTCAGAGATATAAATATAATCATTACAGTCAGTCAGGGGCCAGCGATATCAATATAACCATTACAGTCTGTCAGATATCAGTGATGTAAATATAATTATTACATCCTGTCAGGGATGTAACTAGAACCAATAAAGTATGTCACAGGTCATTGATATTAATTTAACCATTACAGTCTGTTAGAAGTCAAAGATGTAAATAGGACCATTACAGTGTTTCAGAAGTGTAAATATAATCATTACATTGTCAGAGGCCAGTGATATAACATGACTATTAGTCTGTCAGGAAAACAAATATAACCAGTACAGTCTGTCAGGGGTCAGAGATATAAACATAACCATTACAGTCTGTCAGGGGTCAGAGATATAAATATAACCATTGCAGCCTGACAGGGGTCAGAGATATAACTATAACCATTACAGTCTGTCAGGGGTCAGAGATATAAATACAACCATTACAGTCTGACACCGTCTAATTGGATGGTTATAGTTTTAACTATTCTATCCAGCAGACCACTACAAATGTCGCTTACTCTTTCTGTGACAATAAACTTTCTGAGAGCAATTATAAATTTGCTCTTTACTAATTTGACCGTAAATCCTTTGGTTATACTCTCGCAATTTAACGTACATTTCTGAAAGTCCCTTTCAATTTGATTGCCTGCTATCCCCCTTGCAATTCCTATCTCAGAATCCTCCTTTTCTGAGTTTCTCTAGTCATTCCTCATAATTCAGACCCCTGATGCCGAAGATTATTCCTGTGGTTCTCCCACACACTTCCTCCAACACCTGATGTTTCAGTTGTGTCTTAGCAACCAGAGTCAGATGTGATGTTGAGATTGTTTATTAGAACACCATACTGCTGAATCACAGTTTGAGTTATCTTTGACTATTTTTCCAGAATTCATTACTTAGCCTGTGCATCAGAGGATTGGTAATGCAAATTATGTACATAAGAGATTGGAGGAATATTGAGACCTGCTGGTTAATTTACTATGTACAACTCACTATGACAAAATTTGATATTTAGCTGATGGTTAAATGGTTCTCATAATTCATGAATCATTTCAGATCTTGGCATTCTAGTTTCCAGAATGTTTCCAAAGTTGCTGATTGCATTGATCCACCATCATAAACATGGTAATTGATCTGGAAATGAAATTGTACCGTGAACTGAGATAACTGTTATGTTACTGGCTAACAATAGTTCTTAAAAGACTGACAAATGACAGAAGGTGGATCATAAAAACGCTTTCTGATGCTCAAGTGAACCACAACCATTTGGAAGGACTCAGCTTTTGTATTTGGTCTGTGCTATTTGCAGCCAATATTTGAGTTGGCAATATTGAGCTATGTAGGCTTTGAAACAAAAGGGCAATATTCCTACTCTTTACCACTGCCCAGTGACCTCTAATAGAAAATGTTTGAGTTTGAGGTACACAATGAACAGGATCAGGCTTGTCTGGGATCTGCCTCAAGGTTAAATAACCTGCTAACTCTTGTTGCCAGGTGAAGTGGCAGAGAACTATCAATATCTCTGGCAATGTGTCAAAGGAACAATAAGTCCTTCCAATAAGTAGAGACAATTAAGGGTTAAAATTAAACATCCAAATTATACTTTCGACAAACCATCACAGTCTGATATAACTGGCTTTCTGCTGGCCACTGAGGTCTTTCTTTTTGCTTGTTTTGTCAGTTGTTTTCAGTTTCTCCCCCTCGCCTACTTTTACTGTTTTATAGACAGTTGTGAAGCCTCCTGTTTAGATGATCTGTTACAATGCCCATTCTTTCTAGTGAGTTGTAATGTTTGTTTCTTATTCTGTGGCTATGAAGCAATGTTGCCCCAAATCAATCAAAAACCTTTTAAATTGAACAATGTGTTTCTTGTCTACGTTTATTTCTATAAATCTGGGAATTCAAAGTGAAGCATTAGCTGTAAGACAGACATCTATGGATAGAACCAGACTCCTAAATGTTTAACCCATTAAAGCAAACAAACTTTTATTTTAGTTCATTCGTGGGATGAGGTCATCACTGGCTAGGTCAGCATTTGTTGCCCATCCCTAATTGCCTAGAGGGCAGCTAAGAGTCAACCACATTGCTATGGGTCTGGAGTTACATGTAGGCTTGACCAGGTCCTTCCTTGAAGGACATTAGTGAACCAGATGGGTTTTCCTCAACAATCGACAATGCTTTCATGATCATCATTAGAATCTTAATTCAGTTTTTTATTGAATTCAACTTCCACCATCTGCCATGGTGGGATTTGAACTTGGGTCCCCCAAACATTACCTGGGTCTCTGGATTAATGGTCCAACGATAATACAACATAGGCCATTGTCTCCCCTCTTTATGCAGGACAGTATATAGGAGCAGCACAAGGCATACCTAAAAATGATGTGTCAGCCTGGAGAAACAACAACACAGGATCACCTGTGTGCCAGATGCAAGTTTTAGATAGAGCTAATCAATCACACAAATCTAAGATCAAATCTAAGCATTGTTTATGTGGACTTTAGTAAAGTTTTTGACAAGGTTCTGCATGGTAGACTAATTAGTAAAATTAGATCACATGGGATTCAGGGTGAGATTGCCGATTGGATACAAAATTGACTTGACGGTAGGAGACAGAGTGGTGGCGGAGGGTTGTTTTTCGGACTGGAGGCCTGTAACCAGAGGTGTTCCTCAGGAATGACAAACTTTTGTTTGTCATTTATATAAACAATTTAGATGAGAATGTAGGAGGCATGGTTAGTATGTTTGCAAATGACACCAAAATTGGTAGTATAGTAGACAGTGAAGAAGGTTGTCTAAGATTACAGAGATCTTGATCAATTGGGTCAATGAGCTGAGGAGTGGTAGATGGAGTTTAATTTGGGTAAATGCGAGGCATTGCATTTTGGTACAACAAACAAGTGCAGGACCTATACAACTAATGGTCGGGTACTGGGGAGTGTTGTAGAACAGAGACACCTGGGCTTAGGTACATAATTCTTTGAAATTTGCATCACAGGTAGACCAGGCAATTAAGGCGGCATTTAGCACACTTGCTTTCATTGCTCAGACCTTTGAGTACAGGAGTTAGGACATCATGTTAAGGTTGTACAGGACATTGGTGAGGCCTGTTCTTGAGTACTGTGTGTAGTTCTGATTGTCTGCTATAGGAAGGATATTATTAAATTGGAGAGGGTTCAGAAATGTTTTATCAGGATATTGCTGGGAATAGAGAGTTTGAGTTATAAAAAGAGGCTGGATAGATTGGGACCTTTTTCACTGGAGCATAGGAAGTTGAGAGGTGACCCTATAGAGGTTTATAAAATCATAAGGGGCATAAATATAGTGAATAGCAAGGATCCCGTAAGGTTGGGGAGTTCAAAACTACGCAGCATATTTTTAAGGTGAGAGAAGAAAGATTTAAAAAGGCATGAGGGGCAACCTTTTTACACAGAGAATGGTTCATGTGTGGAATAAACTGCTAGAGGAAATGGTAGGTGCGGGTATAACATTTGAAAGACATTAGGATAGATACATGAATAGGAAAGTTTTGTCAGGATATGGGCCAAAAGCAGGCAAGTGGTACTAGTTTAGTTTGGGAACATGGTCAGCATGGACCAAGTGGACCAAAGGTCTGTTTCCATGCTGTATGACTGTACAGTCCTGCCACATGCAGTGAATGGTGTGAACAATTAAACACCTCACAGGTGGTGAAGATTCCTCAAATAACCCCATTCTCAATGATGGGAGAGCCAGAACAACACTGCAAATGACAAGGCTGAAGCATTTGCAACAATCTTCAGCCAGCAGTGCCAAGTGGAATATCCAGAACAGCCTCCCGCTGAGATCCCCAGCATCACAGATGCCAGCCTTCAACCAGTTTGATTAACTTCCATGTTATCAAGAAACGGCTGAAGGCAGTGGGACCTGACAATATTCCAGCAATAGCACTGAATACTTGTGCTCCATTAATAGCTGCTACCCTTTCAAAACTATTCCAGTACAGCTACCACATTGGCATCTACCTGACAATGGGGAAAGTTGTTTAAGTATGTCCTGTCCATTAAAAGCAGAACAAATCCAACCCGGCAAACTATTGCACTGTCAGTCCAAGCTCAATCATCAGCAAAGTGATGGAAGGGGTCAATAACTGTGGTATCAAGTGACACTTGCAAAGGAACAACTTGCTCACTGATGCTCAGTTTAAGTTTTGCCAGGGCAACCCAGCTCCTGACCTCATGACCTTTGGGCTAAAAATGGATATAAGAGCTGAACTCCAGAGGTGAGGTGACAGTGATTGTAATTGACATCAGGCTAGATTGACCGAGTGTGGCAGCCACGAAGCCTAGCAAAGCTGGAGTCAATCGGAATCAGAGAAAACTCTGTTGATTGGAGTTATACCCAGCACTAAGGAAGTTGGTTGTGATTGCTGGAGATCAGTGTTCTCAGTCCCAGGATAACTCTGTAGGAGTTCCTCAGGGTAATATCGTAGGCCCAACTATCTTCAGCTGCTTCATCAATTACCTTTTTAAGGTCAGAAGAGGGGGTGTTCACAGATAATTACACAAATTTCAACACCTTTCACGACTCCTTGGATACTGGGGCAGCCTATGTCCAAGTGCAGAAGAGCTAGACAATATGCAAACTTCGGTTGCTACATGGCATGCACCATTGTTATGACCAGACCCAACCCCCTTAAAAATATATTCATAAGAAAGTCTAGACCCTAACTTTGTCTTATATCAAAGGTAAGTGTAACGTGTTGCATTCCAGATGCAATTCGACTGGTCAAACTACCAGCTTTGAAGCAAAACACACTTAATGCATCCACTATAGTTAAAATACAACAAAAGAAAGAAGAAATTGGAAAACTCTATTGGAAAACTTAACAGAATAATAGATTATTAACTACTACTAAGTAACTATTCCAATACATAACATCCCATAAACATACCCTGGACAATGACAGATTCAGAAAAATAGATTGTCTCACATGCAACTCCAGCAGCACGAAGAGAACCTCCACCTTTTAGCTGTAACCAAGAGAGGAAAAAACATAAGGGAAAACTCTGAGAGAGAGTGTAGCAGGGAGAGATGTACTACAACCCTGCTGAGATCCGAGCAACAACTGCTACTGAAAACTAAAATCTAAAAATCCTGGTTCTGTGGGAGCTTGAACACACCATTCAGGCTGATACCATTGTTCCAACTTTTAAAAAAAAACCCAAGGCCTCACAAACTATTCTCGTGGCTCAGCACAGACTGCTCAGCACCTCTGCCTTAAAACTTCTCTTCAAAAAAAACCAGGACAAAATACACCTGTTAAAGCCTTATCATCATCACACCATTCAGGACACACAAATGCGAGGCAATGACAACTCCAGCAAGAGAATCTAACCTGCAGCAATTCAGGGGAGCAGTCATCAGTATCCTCTCCAGGACAAACGCAGCTGTAAAATAAATATTGGCCCAACCAGTCATACTCTTATCTCCCTCATTGTATCTAATCTCAATAAACCAAACACCATTTAAATCTCCCTTTCTGGAGATGACACTCAGTTCCTCTGAATTAAGAAGAATTTTCTCAGTACAAGAAAAATCTGTGAATGCAAAGCTTCTCACACACCATTGCCCTGCATGAGTGAGACCTTGTAATATTCCTCTTTACCTCCTCCTGTAACCTGTCCTTCTCCAGGACTGAATACCATCTGTTCCTGCATAATGAAGGAATATTTATTCTGAGTCGAGTGGAGAATCCCCTAATGGAAAGCACACAGAAATAGCAAGGCTTCAATGGGTATTGCAGCAAGCTGATTTTGTGAAATACAGTTTTCTACTCATAGGTGTCACAGCAGATATTTTAAAGCAGCAGTCCGCAACCTTTTGCATCTTACATACCACCATCATTTTGTCAAAAACTCTGGTCACACCATGACAAATGATGCTACTCATTCAGTCATACAGCACGGAAACAGACCCTTCGGTCCAACCAGTCCATGCTGAACATAATCCCAAACTAAGCTAGTCCCACCTGCCTGCTCCTGGTGCATATCCCTCCAAACCTTTCCTATTCATATATCTATCCAAATGTCTTTTAAACGTTGTAATTGTACCCACATCCACCACTTCATTAGGAGGTGGTTAGAATCATACCTGACACATAGGAAGACGGTTATGGTTGTTGGAGGTCAATCATCTCAGCTCCAGGACATCTCTGCAGGAGTTCCTCAAGGTAATGTCTTAGGCCCAACCATCTTCAGCAACTTCATAATAACCTTCCCTCCATCATAAGGTCAGAAGTGCAGATGTTCGCCAATGATTGCAAAATGTTCAGCACCATTCGTGATTCCTCAGACACTGAAGCAGCTCGTGTCCAAATGCAACAAGATCTGGACAATATCCAGACTTGGGCTGACAAGTGGCAAATAACATTCGCGCCACACAAATGCCTGGCTATGACCATCAGTAATAGGAGACAATCTAAGCACTGCACCTTGGCATTCAACAGTGTTACCATCACTAAATCCCCCAATATCAACATCCTGGGGGTTATCATTGACCAGAAACTCAACTGGACTCACCACATAAACACCGTGGTTATAACAGCAGGTCAGAAGCTAGGAATTCTGTGGCGAGTAACTCACCTCCTCACTCCCCAAAACCTGTCCACCATCTACAAGTCACAGGTTAGGATCGTGATGAAATACTCCCCACTGCCTGGATGAGTGCAGCCCCAACAACACTCAAGAAGCTCGACATCATCCAGAACAAAGCAGCCCACTTAACTGGCACTACATCCACAAACAATCACTCCCTCCAACACCGATGTTCAGTAGCAGCAGTATGTACTATCTACAAGATGTACTGCAGAAATTCACC